AAAAAAGTCTCTGAGCAAGTAAGAACGTAACAGGAATAAAATTAGTATATTCGAAATTGTAGCACTGACTTCTTGGGGAGAAAGTAACTCATCTTGTATATGCCTCGTGCTGGCACCAGCCTTGCTAGGCATGTCTGCCTTCTTCTGCTTTCAACTCTGGGCAGAAACTGCCCCTGCAGCAAATACAGGTGATGTCGCAATACAGAATCCCAGAACATTTTCCAGTCCATGATTTCCCTGACACCACTATCCTTCAGACACTTTCACTACCTCCTGTTTCACCAACTTTCCTTGATGGACATTTCATTTCTGTTTTTCCAACTCTGACCTTTCCTCTCTTCCACCCCACCTTAAACTCTTTCATAGGATCCTTGAGTGTGCCAGTTACAGCTTGATCTTCATTTGTCCTTGCACCCTGCCATGTCAACCTTGTTCATTCTCTGGGCTTAGATTTTTGGCTGATTAGTAAATCAAGCTCAACACCACGCTTTTTCCTGAGCTTCAGATGAGCATCCCTGTCCAACCAGGTCTCTCCTCATGGACTGGTCCCTCAGTTACACATTTCTTCAGCTCTCCCTCTATGTGTCCCCAGAGCTCCTCCTCCCCAAGTCTCATCTCCCTTCCTAGACCTAGATGTCCCATCTTCCTCAGTTCTCCAACATTCTCAGGATTCCTTTCCTTTCCTACACCTCCTCTATCCCTAGGCTCCTTCTCCTCCTGGCCTCCCCAATCTTCCTCTCATCCCCACTGCTCTATAGCTCTTGCTTTCCTTTTATAGCAGCCTCCTAACTCATTCCCAGGCCCAGGTTTTTCCTGGTATTCCCAGAGTGATGATTCTTAAAATCATAGATTTTTTGTAACTTCCATAGTAAACCACCTGCTGAGGACTCCTAATTTTCAAAGTTCAGAAGTGAAGCAGCCTCTTCTCTGTCTGGTACCAACCAACTTGCTTTCCAGGCCCAAGAGCTGACATTTCTCCTGCACACTGAATGTCTCATCACTACCCTTTCCCATTTCCTGGGCTTCTCCTTCATCTGTGCACTGCCTTCCCCTCCCAGGCAGCACCTGCTCACCTCTGTTCCACTCTGGGAAATCTTTCCTATCTAGGAGTCATTGAGTCTGATCCACAGAGGATACCCTGCAGCAACAAAACTAGTAAAGGTGTGTTGAATTAATGCATAAAAGAAGTTACAGCACTGTGTGTGGGTGATGAAAAGGCTAACAAAAACCTGACCCTGGAGTGTGTCTCCCTATGGGGGTAGTTAATTAGCACACCCTGCCAAGACCACGTGACCCTGCTCTACTCACTCACTAGGTGTCAACAGGCCACACTGCCTCTGGACAATCAGCCTGCACAGGAATCAGATCAGATTAGGCAGCTTCTCTTCAGTTCTGGCCACACCACCTGCATGTCTGAGGTAGCCTGCCCTCACTTCCGCAGGCTGTGATCCCACTTCCCTTCAGTTCTCAGTCCATCCACACCCCTCCTACTTGGGCTTTCTCCACTGTTACTTTCTCTTTTCCTCTATTTCAGCGTCTCATTTTCCTGCACAGGATCCTCTTCCCCATCTCATTTTCCTGCACAGGATCCTCTTCCCCACAGTTCCTGAGCCAAGCCCAATTGCCCTCTTCAACACTTGCCTCACTTTTTTTTTCCTAGTGAAAAGTAGTTTATTTATTGGTTGTTTTTTAGCTATTTGATTAGTTATTATGTAAGGATCAGGATGCATTTTTTCCTCCTACAGATTTATTTATTTATTTTCAAATAATATAATAGTTTATTTTTACATCATCTTGTGCCTCTTTCCATCTCAGTTGTAATCCCCGTGGGCTTCCCATCACCACATCGCCCATGTGCCATCACCATAGTCCAGTGCATTTCCCTCCCCCTACTATTTTTTGATCCCATTCCCCACTCCACCCCATAAAATGTCTTTGGTATATAGCTGTTCATTATTTTTGTTATTTTCTTGCCTGGTCCGTTATACTCCTGCTATGAGTGAAACCATCTGGTATTTTTCCTTTTCTTTCTGGCTTTTTTCACTAAGCATGATCTTTTCCAATTCTATCCATGTAGCTGCAAAAGGCATGTGTTTATTTTTTTTGGTTGCTGAGTAATATTCCATTGTGTATAAGTACCACATCTTTTTTATCTAGTCATCTAGCCTTTTTTTGGGCATTTGGGTTGTTTCCTTGTTTTTCCAATTGTAAATAAAGCA